AAATCATTTGCGTGCACTTCTTTTTCTCAACTAAAATTTTCTAAAAACTTGAAATGTATTTTTTTTTACAAAAGTGAAAAATTAAGTGCCATTTGAAGTAAAATAGGGACAAATGGCACGGTTTGAGCCAAGTTGGCATCCCTGCTTCCAATAACTTACAAATATAAAAATGTGAAATATCGAGGGCTTGAATTCATTAATACCCTCTATCTGCAATTTGCACAAAAACTAATTTGTGATTTTAGAAACCATCTGGGACTTATTACCTGTCGTTATATAAGTTAGCATTAATATCACTGATGACAGTTAAAGCTTAGGTGGATTTTTATATCAGAATCTCATCTTTGTGAAAAGTGTGCAGATAGAGGGTATTATTGAATATAAGCCCTCGATGTTTAAAATATATAAAAATTTTATTTCAACGTATACAAAAAATAAATCTACCTGCGTTACAGCACGGCGGTTGACGGGGAAGGGGGGGCCGGGGGGCCGCCGCGAAGCTAAGCCAATTTAATGTTTGAAAGAGAAATAATGTCAATGGATTTTATTTCGTTTTTAAAAAGGTAATAATGTCAATTGACTTTATTTCGCACCAGGGTGGGAAATAAAGTCAATTGACCTTATTTCCGTTGATCTTATTACCTGTCACCCTCTTGTTTTCACAAATTATAAAAATCAGATGAAGCAAAAAGCGAGGGCATCTAAAAGTAAAAGAATCAACATTGAAATGCGTCAAAATGAAAATAAGGCAGCATGAATTTCAATGTGAAGCAAACCTCTCTGCGAGGACAGTACCTGTGAATGATTGTATCATGAGCTGTTTCCAATTAAAAATACTTGTTATTTTATTCTAGCCGATTTTCAAAAAAAAATTTGCGGTTGACTGCGGTAAAAATACTTCCAAAACGCTGATGTCAAGATATAAAAATTGCCCTGATATAACTTATATCTAGCAACCAAACAGATAGCTGAACAAAAATAAATTTTATCCTGTGAAGACGGCCAGTGATGAACAAGGCTATTGAATGGCTGTTCAGCAACCAGCTTGGACTTATACAACTGGGTCATGGTAACCCCGGACAGCCTCGAACATTCCTTTTTTTGGCATTCCTCTTTGCACTGCGGCTAATTCCCATTGGAAGAATAACGGAACCAGTCCAAATAACTCAGAGCCCATTATTCTACCAAAGGGAATACCTAATTTCCCGCAGTGCAAAGGTATAAATTTGACAGACCCACAGCGAAACAAAAAATAAAGAAAGAGAAGTGCCGGAAGTGAAGTGCTCTATCCGCAAGTCAAGAACTGGAATCGGAAACGCAACCACAAGTGCAGCAAGATCAGCGTGGGCTAATTCAATTGGAAACAATCAACACACGAAGTAAGTAAAACTTTGAATAACAATTATCGTAGGATTAAAAATTTCCTGATTTCTGATCCAATGTGAAGACCCTAACCTTAGTAGCCTTATAATTACATGGTAAATTATTGTTGAATTCGTAATTTAACCAAATCCCTTAATACAAATCTCATCAAGTGTATTAAGTAAAAGTGCATCAAATACATAGATTTGACTTAAATCTAATCACTTTGAATGCCCTTGGCTATGGTTTTTTACATATTTCATTTTTCGAACATCTAGTAGCGCTTTTCTCTTCAACCTTACAGCCATTTTGCTCGGGTTTTGTGCTTCCTTAAGGATGTGCTTTTGATGCTCGGCTGAAAATCTCCTGACTTCTGCAGAAACAATTACAATTTAGCGTTGCTTTGAGTTGCCCGGATGCGAAACTGGTGGTCAAAATTCTGTCCCTGCAACGTTTAATGTAGGTACAGTCGTACGAATTCCTCGGAGAACTTGATGCTCTTTTACGAAAAGTAGCACTCCCGCATTAATTGCAGCTCGAAAACACCCTATCCTTGGCAAAACACCCAAAAGATGATGGATTGGATAGCAAGCCTTAACAGCTACCTGGTCCAATCCATGCTAGTGTAAAACCAATTTATTAATACAATTAACTAACTATACAAATACTAATAAAGTTTCTATTCTTGGGTTTAGGTACTCGGACTGTAGCGGAACCAGCACAAACGCAAAAAGCCCGCGGGAACCACTAGCCCCAGCAGCGACAACCACCACGGCAGCGATTGCAACCACAAGCACGACCACAACCGCATATCAGCGGAAGCAAAACGCGCGGCACCACAACCGCATATTAGCAGAAACAACACGCGGCAACCACTACACCGCCACAGCAGTGGTTGCAACCACAACCGCATATAAGCAGAAGCACAACGCGCGGCAATACAACCGCCACATCTTCGGAAGCACCACGCGCGACACCACAACCGCATATCAGCGGAAACAGCACGCGGCAACCCCTACGCCGCCACAGCAGCAGCTACTAAATCCGCGCCAGCAGCGATAACCGCCACTGAAGCGGTTGCAACTACAAGCTCAACCACAACCACCACATCAGTGGAAGCACAACAGCCGCCAAATCAGCGGAAGCAAAACGCGCGGCACCACAACCGCATATCAGCGGAAACAGCACGCGGCAACCACTACGCCGACACAGCAGCAGCTACTACGTCCGCGCCAGCAGCGGTTGCACCCACAAGCGCAACCACAGCCACCATCGCAGCGACGTAACGACCAGCGAGACTACCACAACACCGCAACAATACCGACCAACAACAACAGCCACTATACCAGCAACAACAACAACAGCAGTGCCCCCTCCAAGGCCTTCTGGAACAAAGGGTGAGTCCTTCGGTCCTAAACTAAAAGTTTTTTTATAAAAGGGAAAAAAATAATTGGTTTTTTTAATAAAACTTTTGAAAATTCAGAAAGTAAACGAGAAGTAGCTAAAGCCAAAATAAAGGGGTATAACCCCAAGAACAATAGTTTTAAGAAATTAGAGGTAGTAACACAATTTAAAAAAAAAAAAAGTAAGAACAAAACAGAGTAACAGAAATTTGATTAATTACAAATTATAATTATTGTATTGAAATATTTTGGTCCAACATTTTCACCAACAGTTCACGTTCATGGTTTTCATTGACGCATTTATCTTCTAATATTACGGTTTGGAGGGGGTCAGAAGGCATATTTCCATTGCCGTCTTAAATAACCTAGCAAAAGTGTCTGTGCATACAAAGATACGTAATAGTTTCAGTGCGTATGAAAGGCGCCACGCTCCCTTTTCAAATAGTACGAATTTTATCTAAGAGTAAGGAATTGATTAGGATATCTTGTACATACGAAGTTCCAGTACTCTACCATTAACACTTCCTGAGATATGCAGTGTGAAAAATTCGATTTGTATGGGAGGTGCCACGCCGCTTTTTCCGATAACCCCTTTTCCAATAACTGCAATTTTTCGCCATGAGTATGCGAATGTTTTCATATATTTCCATACCATATTCGAGTACTCTACCATGAACACTTCCAGAGATAAGCAGTGCGAAAAATTCGATTTGTATCGGAGGTGCCACGTCCCCTTTTCCAATAACTGCAATTTTTCGCCATGAGTATGCGATTGTTTTCATATATCTCCATACCATATTCGAGTACTCTACCATGAACACTTCCGCTTTTTCCAATAGCCCCAATTTTTATAAGCTTTTATTTAACTTGGTCATCCCGCGGAAATCGCGGAAATTTCCAATCGATTTCAAACTAACTTCCCGACAAGTTAGAGACTTGAAATTTTCAGCATAGTTCCAATCACGATGACAATGCAATTTGAATTATAAATGAATTCCCCATATGTTCCAGGGGTCTTGATTCAAAGGCGGTCAAAAAATAGTAAGATTTATGGCTAACAGAGCGTAATTTGCCAAAGAACGTAAAACCACTATAAAATTGTTAAAGCTGCCGGCGTAGTGTAGCAAAGCTATTTGTGGCAAATTCTAAATATCAATCTAGTCTAGATATGAACCTCGTTGTAAGAATTAGACGACTCCAGATGTCGCCCCGATAGAAGAAGTTAAATATTGCGCCTAAATATATGCCATGCTACAACAGAAATGGACGACACGCCATTTCTTTTAATAAAATTAACAGCTGCTATATGTACATATGTATGTTTATACAAAACGTAAGCAAACAACATTTTGTTATTTTAATATCTATTGCAAAATTTTGTACATAAAATGAAAAAACACTTTTTAATATACAACCGTTTTATAAATGGACTAAAAATTATAAAATAAAATAATGTAAAAAAAATATTTTTTAAAAACAAGCTTTTATTTAACATGTACAATCAAAGGAATAAACAAAGTAGTGTAACAAAAGATTTTTTAGCAAGAAAATTTTGTCAAAACTGCACTAAAATGAATGAAATAAAATAAGTTGAGGTCTCGTTAAAGTTACTAAAAGCCATTTAGTGAAAGGAGTTATTCAAACTCTAATGAAAATTACTAACAATATGTACTAATTTACTTCGTTTTTAAAAAAGCTTGTCGGCGAATTCAGCGTACATGCATAATTGGTTAGGTATGTATATGTATGTATGCAGATATTTAAATGCCGGTTTGCTATTCGCGCGACAAGCTTTTTTAAAAACGAAGTAAATTAGTTAGTACAAATTGTTAGTAATTTTCATTAGAGTTTAAATAACTCCTTTCACTAAATGGCTTTTAGTAACTTTAACGAGACCTTAACTTATTTTATTTTATTAATTTTTGTAAAATTTGCTTTAAATACTTGTACCATGGTTGCAACTACCACCAACAAATTTTATTTCAACTTATTTACTTCATTTTTTTTTTTGTTTTTTTTAATTTTTTTTGTACGTTTTATATTTTTTTGTTACATTTTGTTTCCAAATTCTTTTTTTATATATATATGTAGGTAGCCGCCATTTTGCGGGCCGGACCCACGGTCGCCATGTCGAAGTGGTAAAATTCCACTTCGTTAATTCAACGGGCGTACCTTCTGAATTCACGCGGAGCCCTGATGCTCCGCCGGCGCTGATGCCGGCCAACGCCTGCATAGCATGGAGCCCTAGCGCTCCCTAGTGTAGGCTGTCTGGAGTGTGGGAATTCCTTGCCGCACTTGTGTTCTGCACGCTGCTTACTTCTCGTGGAGCCCTGGTGCTCCTGCTGGCTATGCGACTTACCAGTCGGTTGGGCGCATCTTTCACATTTTGACGTAAGCCTAGCAGCTGTCATACATATGACAGGGTCGCATTCAAATATCGTAAATTCTAAGTTCTTAATTGTACTAGATTAGCCTAGGGCGTATTCATATAAGGTAGTTTGTAGTAATTCAGTAGGGTTGCAAATTATATGCTTTTATCGCATTACAATCTCCATACCATATTCGAGTACTCTGCCATGACATGCAGTGTGCAAAATTCGGTTTGTATGGGAGGTGCCACGCCCCCTTTTCCAATTACCGCAATTTTTCTAGATGAGTATGCGACTGTTTTCATATATATCCATACCGTGTTCGATTACTCTACCAAGTAAACAAAAAAATTCAGGTAAAATTGTTACCGTTTTTGAAATATTTACATTTTTCTGAATTTAAAAAAAATCGTGCCTTTTCATGTATTTTCTTTAGCTGCATCTACAAACCAGGCTATACTTAGTATGTAAAATACTTCCAGATAGTTGCTTCTCCATACTCAAATGCAATGCAGTTAAAATATATTAAGGAACCATTATAAAATTAGGACTATTTTGGGATTTTTAACTTTTTGATATTTTCTTCCCCAACTTTGACTATCTCTGGTGAAAAGAAATGTACTGAGCTATAACTTTACATTACATAAAAAAAATTGCTAATTTAATAACGATTTCAGAAAGGTGCCACTCTTACTGTTTCGAATAGAAAAAAAAGTTATGCCGCTTTTGTGGGTAAAGGACTGAGACACGCTAGAATGTATTTAATAGACCAATGACATGCTAAATAGTACACAGGTACACTATTACCTACTCCTGACATTATTTTATGTTACTTACCGGAATTAGTGAAAGTGGATTTTGTGAAATTGGACCCTTCGAACATTGTGTTATTGATACTATGACAGAGAACACGCAGTATGAATATGCGGATATTCACCTAATTTACGATGAAGCTTGCTGTAATGCCAGAGCTGCTCAAAGACTCTATGTAGAGTGATACCCCAATCGTCGGCATCCGGGTCGTGAAGTACTCGCCCGGACCTATAGAGAAATATATGAAGGTAAGTGATTTTAACACCTTTCTTATTTGCATGCTTGTTAACTATCATTTTTCACTTTTTTAAGGTCGCATACCTGGAAGACGTGGCGGCGAAACAGGACGTCCTGCAACGGTAGATGTTTAGGTCCGCGACCTAAATATATTGCACCACCCTAATCCGCGTTTTGTCACTTGATGTAAGAGCACACAAACACATACATAAGTTACGGCTATCTTTCCAGCCGCTAACAACAAGCCCCACTGTACGGTAACTTATTGGAGGGGAAACTTAACGAAAGTTACTGTGCGGTGGGCTATATCCCTTTTCGTTTGTTGGCACTTTTTCACTTCTTAGAAGACAGCAAGGAGATCACGTCAGCCATCACACCACGTTCGGTAAGCCAACTCTTGTGTGCCACACTATTCAACCTCACAGATATTTACAAATAAAACGATTTTAATTTCATTGCACTAAAACCACTGTGTCTTTTATTTGCTCCTATTTTCGTTACATTAACTTTACGCTGGTGCGCTCCATCTTCGTGCGACGCCACCTGCGTAAATAGTAGATGTTGAAGTTGTGTTAGAGGAAGTGGAACTAGGTCCATCGACTTCAGTGAGATTGATGGAAAGACGGACGGGAATACCAAAAACTACAGTTCACAAAGCTTTAAAAGACCATCGATTTCATTCCTACCACATTCAACGTGTTCATGCTCTACAAGAAAGAGATTACCTGTCGAGGGTTAGATTTTGCCGTGAAATGTTGGACGATGAATCATCATGCAAACGCGATGGTTATTTTAATTTACATAACCTTCACAGTTGGCAGATAGACAATCCTCACGAAATGAGAGAAAATCGTTCGCAGTACCGGTACAAAATAAATTTATGGTGCGGTATTTTTAATTATCAGATATTGGGACCTGTGAAACTGCCGCCAACGCTCAACTCTCATAGTTATTTAGAGTTCCTTCAGGAATGGCTTCCAAGTCTTTTAGAAGATGTACCCTTAAACCTGCGGCGAAGACTATGGCTGCAAAATGACGGGTGCCCTGCTCACTACGGGCGTGAAGTAAGAGCTCATTTAGACGAAACTTATCCTCGCCGATGGATTGGACGATACGGGCCAATCACGTGGCCCGCTCGATCGCCAGACCTGAATCCATTAGATTTTTTCTACTGGGGCTGTCTTAAGGACAAAATTTATTCAAAAACAATTCAAAACGAAGAGCATTTGCGGGAACAAATAAATGAAGCAGCGGCTGAGATAGCCCAATTGAGTTTAAGATCTCTATAAGCGTATTTTCTTAAAAGGTGCCGAGCTTGTATTAGAGTAGAAGGTCGCCAATTTGAGCATATTTTATCAATAAGTGAATAATATTTTCTTCAAACAACTCATGTATATTTTATTTCACGTGAACCCATCCTTCACAAAAAATATTGATAGATATAGCCCTTGTTATAGACTCTAG